ACATTCGTGGAAGCAATAAAACCTAGAAAGTGGAACACCATTAGAATGGATACTTTTAAAAAAAGTATAAAAGAGAAAAAGTAGATTCCAGAATTGCGAGTCTTCAGAGTGAACTCTAAAAAAGAGAGCAGAAGAGATGGGAACCACTCTTCCAACAGGACCCTCTGGTGATCAGGATTTGTTTTCAGGAATTACAGAGAGCGAGAGAACAAAAAAGGCCAGAGATTACCTGATAGATCCAAGATTATCAGCAGATGTCTGAACTGCCTGGACACCCCCATTCCTACATATGTTATGGTGGTGTTTCCCCAATAAAATCAGGGATCCTCTTTCTAAAGGCATTGAACGAGCCATCTGAAATGGATGTGACGAATCTCAGATTTAATCTTCTCATTCACTTCTGGTAGTGGTGGGAAAGGAGCTGCAATTTGTTTGCTTTTTCCCCTCTTTGCTAACTGGAAGGAGAATTCTGCCTCTTAGAGAGATGTGACTGTTAAAGACAACAAGAGAAAAATATTATATGGAAGGTCCAGGATCCTTCCAATAGAAGCTTTTTGAAGAAAACAAGACAAAATAGAAAAGAACACAGCAGTAGAAGTGAGGGAAGGATTGATTATCAAAACAAGACTAGAGTAGAATAAAAACATGGTTTCAGATTGAAGGATTCAGCAGAAGAAGCTGCAAAGAAATCACATTTTCCTGAAATTTTGGAATACAGCAGATTATGGAATATTCAATATGACGTAACAGAGCATAACAAGCTCAAGCCCTCAATAAAACGGGAATAATGACATCAGTGTGGTAGGCAGGATTTTTACTTCAGTGACCTCCTCTCCTGATGTTATGCCTGTAAATATGTCACTTTGCATTGCGTAAAGGACTTTGCACATGGAATTAAGATTGCCAGTCAGTTGACTTTGAAATAAAGAGCTTAATTATCCTGGATTATTCAGGTGTTCCCAATGTAATCACAAAAGAAGTTAGAAGAATCAACCAAAAAGCTGAGGCAGAAGGAGAGTTCAGAGAAGGAGAGATTGGAAGCATGAGAAGGATTCCATCCACTGTGGCTGAATTTTAGGGCGGAGAAAGTAGACATGAACCAGGGAATGCAGGTAACCTCTAGAAGAAGCCAGAATTTCTAACCAAGAGCCAGTGAGAAAAAAGGAGTATCAGTACTATAACCACATAGAACTGAATGCTACTAATCTCCTCCATAAGCTCAGATAATGTTTTAGAGAGAATAAAAGGATGGTTGTTGGACAGAGAGCCAAACCAGGAGAAGCTGAGGTGCAAGGACCACACTGACCACCAGGATCAATGAGTGTCTACACCCGGAAGCTGAGTGGCCCCATCCCCAGCCTCCTTCTCCCACTCAACTGTCAGAAAACTGGCCACCAGGCCTTTCCCCTCCAGGACAGATCCTGGGTAGGATTTTCTAGGGAATCTGATCAGCCTAAAGACAGAATTTTAAGTTTCTCCATCTAAACACCTCAGGCATGTCATCCTACAGTTTAGATCATCAACAGCCTTCCTTTGATGCCCTGACTTCCAGCACTCTTTGATATGTACAGGCAATCAAGAATGCATAAATATCCCATGTGAAAAACAAGAGAAAAACAAACGAACAAAGAAGAAAAAAAGTAACAGAGAAAAGGAGCCCATTCAGGGAGGGAATGAAACACAACAAATACAAGTACCATGATTATCTCAGAGAGATAAAAATATATATTGTAATCATGAAATGAGAACCATCACTTCAAAAAAAACAACCTTCAGATGATGTAAAAGAGCTCTTGGAAATTAAAATAATCTTAGGGAAAAAACAAAAATTCAATAAAATTATTACACACAAAAAACCCACTGAATGCTCTGGAAAGCAGAGCAAAGGGATCAAGTAATATGAAATAGGAGAGAGAAGAGAATTAAAGGGCAGGTTCTGAAGGTCCAACAACCAAACGTGGGAACAATGCTTGAATAAATCTGAAAGATGGCAATTCCTGAATTAGAATTCCATCCCCAGCCAAACAACCAATTAAATGTGAGGTAAAATAAACACACTTTTAGGCATGCAGCATCTTGGAAATTCACCTTCATGAGTTTTTCCTACTGAAGATACTGAAGAGTTGTGCACTCCTAAGACAAGGAAGGAGAGGGCAGGATACAGGGAACAGGAAATCCCAATCCCAGGGTGGCAGCTGTGCATCAGGCATGAAAGCAACCAGTCCAGATGGGAAGAGGCTCCAGGAGATATTCCATCAGGAAAATGAACTGATAGGACACCTGATGCAACTGAAGCAGCCGGCAATGTATTTGGGGGTGAATTAGTAAGAATATGGAAAATGACAAGATAAGCATTAGCTCTAGGAGAAACAATGTGGGATAGGAATAGAAAACTGGAATTTACTATATGGCTAAATTAAGAATTGTATTTATGTCATCCTAATACTGTAAAGGGAATACCAAATATCCATCTTACTGTTTATGAAGGAATGGGTGCTGGTTTGGGGGGAAGTATATTTGCTGAAGGAAAGAGGAGAAGGAATGTTTTGCCTCTGTATTTCCTAAGGGGAAGCTACAGATAATGCTAAAAGATGAAAAATCAAGAAAAGCATAAACAAGTTATTCTCAGAAATGGAGCTAAATACAAAAGCAACTAAAAGAGGTTCAAATATTTGCATTTGAGAAGGGAGAATTTGAAAAGGGGGAGGTGGATGAATTTATTTTTTCTTATTTTGTAAGATACCCTGTGGTATTATTTAATCTTTAATATGTGTGCATGTCATTCATAACTCAGAATAAAAACTAGTCGAAAAGATGGATGGGAGAGAAAAAGAAAGAATATTAATTGTGCCAGTCAAAAAGAAGGGTTCATTTATTGGCTGAGTGAACTGCCTTATTTTTTCTGAGATGACTTTAGTTATAAATCAGCAAACTAGTTTCTGAGCAACTTTGGAAGAACTTCTTATTTATATGACATTGTTAAACACATTCTGACTATTAAACATTCCAAAATGTTGATCTTAATGACTTTTATACTTATATTTTTATAACTTATTGTAAATTATTTTTGCTGTAGAATATAGTATTAGAAAATGTATACTTCAGTAAATAATTAGTCTGCCAGTGAGGTATCTTATACGGAAAAATAAAATTTCATACAATAAAAATGTCAGAGCTGCAGATCTCATTAATTCAGTTTTTTTTTTCATATTCTACCTAGGCGAAGGTGAAGTTTACCTTTGAATGCCTAAGAAGAAATGAATATTGTAAGCATCATTATAAGGATATCTTGGTCATTTCTTTAAAAGAAGACTGAAGTGTATATTATTTAAGAGATTTGTTTTAATTAAAGAAATAGATATACTGAATTTATTTGTGTAATAAATGCTCATTAAGTATTTTGTTCAGGCATTCTGCTACATATTGGGAATGCAAAGCTGAAAATGTATAGTTTATGTTTTTAAGTTGACAAATGATTAAGGAAATTGACATGAAAATGAGCAATTGTGATTAAAAGAAAAAATAAAATCGCTCTCTTGAAGAGTCACATAAAATACACTCGTAGCTCAGGGGTGTGAGTACAGGTTTCACACAGGGAGTTTCGTTTGGGCTGAGCTTAAAGGATAAATCAGAATTATTACATGGATGGGTTGATGGAGGAAATTTCAGGAAGAAAAACAGCTTGACCGGTGATACGAGCTTGAGTGTTCTGGGAAGAGCCAGTGCTTCAGGATTGCTGGAGCATTGAGCACTATGTCTGCAGAGAGAGGAAAAGGTTTTAGATTTTATTACTTAAGTAGAAAGAGACAATGAGATACCATTGATAACTATTATTATTCACAGTAGCCAAATTTTTTAAGTCATTTCTATGTGCTAGGCACTGAGCCAAGCACTTTACATGAAAATCTCATTTAATCCTTACGGCTACTCTATTATTATCCCCATTTTTGAGGTTTTCATGCATGAGAATAATATGACAAAATTTGTGTATAAAGTTCCTTGTAACACCCATGAGAAAATGTTTCAGTCAAATTAAAAAAATAGGATGCACCAGGGCTTATACAGATACATGAAAATATTATACATAATATAGCTAGGCAAAATATTGGAAAGATTATAGATAATGCAGTAGTGTTATTTTTTCATCACTTCAAATGTTTGAAAATGTGCATTTATCAATTTTAAAATAAGAACAATGTGTATCATCAGAGAAAGAAAGGAAAAAGAGGATAAAACACAAAGAGATTCAGCAAGGAAAATAAAAAGAAAAGAGAGCGAGAGAGCACAAGCAAGAGAGAGAGAGAATTATTGAAAGGCAAAGTTGGAGGCTGGACTGGAAGAAGAGAAGAGTGAAAGCAGGGAGACTCCTACTGGGATGGTCCAGGGGTCAGGGAAAAGATAAAGCCTCAATTCAAGCAGTCATGAGCAGAAGGCAAATGGAGAGAACAGAGAAAAACAGGAGAAATATTTAGAAAATAAATCAAAATGTCCTGATCTCCCATTGGATGCATAGAAGGATATAAAACAGGCTGAGGTTTATGAGAAGAAAAGATTAGTAACATGTTGCTGTTGCTACATCATGATTGGTCGGTTGTTTTACTCAGCATAACTAGTTAGTGTTAGCTTATGCATTGCATTAATTGATCACATTCCTGTTAAGGAAAAAAGGATGGTTGAATATACGTGGTCCCCAAATTGATCCAGAACCTCAAGTTTTGATTTTGACCTAATGAAATCTTTTATTCAGTATTCACAACAACCAGAAATTCCATGGTATGCCTGGCAGGAGTGAAAGAGAGCAATTTGAGGAATCTAACAGTGCTGGTTTGAGACCATGGCTAACTACCCTAATTGTATGGACTTGACTTCCCTTTAAAAAATGTTTAATTGCTTGTAAGATTTTGTGGATCAGAAAGTTAAAATCACAGCTACACTCTACTGTGAGCTCCCTCCTGGGCAGATCTCCTTCCTTTTAACCCTTCCCTCTCTTCTCCCTACAGGGCTCTATGAAACCTTTCTAACCAATGATGAACCAGAATGCTGTGACGTCAGGAGAGAGGAGCGATCAAGGAGCCCATCCAGAGGGACGGTAGAGAAAAGTGACTCCTGTCACAGGACATCGCTCACAGTGTCATCAGCAACAAGACTGTGCAACAGCAGACTCAAACTGTGTGTTCTCGTACTCATTCTCTTACACACAGTGCTCACAGCCTCAGCAGCACAGAACACAACGGGACTGGGCTTGGGAGGCATCAACACGCTGGAAGAAAACTCAACCAATGAGGAATAACGAAAGGCTCCAGCGTCCCGGAGCAGCGGCTGGCCCACCGTGAAAAACGCAACTGCTGTCCAACGTCACAGAAACTGGGTGCTTTTACCCTCTAATTACTTCTTGCAAGGCCTTTAGGGTAAAATTAAAAAAAAAAAATAAAAGATGGGCCTGAATCCAAACGAGGACACCACCACAGCTTTTTATTGACTAAAAGGCTGTCAAGTGACTTTAAATTTCTCACACCATTTTATACACTGTGTTTTAATGTTTGGAGGTTTTATTTGCTTTCGTTTTGGTTTGGGTTTATTTGTCCGTTTATTTTTTGCACTTGTTAATACAGGATTTATTTTTCGGGATGGTTTCTCAGAGGTAAACTAAGTCTTTTCACTGTCTCTCTCTATATATATATTTCTAGTCATTGTGTGTGTTCATCAGATAGTTCTGTCTTTACGTCCTGTCAGTTTCTATTAGAGGAATGATTGCTATGACCTCATGGTATAGCAAAAAACAACAACAAAAAAATAAATAAAAACTAAAAAAAGACAAAAAAAAGAAAACAACAAAAAATAAAAATAAAAAAAATTCCCTAAGCCTCCCTTCTACCCATGGAACCCACGCCCTTCCCGGCCCTTCCTCCCCGGCCCTCTTCTCGTCCCCTAAGCAGACAACATCCGCTTGCTTCTGTCTGTGTAGCCACAGTGAACGGGTGTGCACGCTCGTGGGCCTCCGAGCCACTGTCGCACAAACCCAAAACAGAGCGGAGCCAAGGGGGCCTGGCGGGGGTTCCTTTTTCGCTGAACAAACAAGTGCTCTCCATAATAGGTGGAATCAGACAGTTAACACATTTTTATGTTGAAAACAAAATAAAAGGCAAAAAAAAAAAAAAAAGCTATCATGAACTGTGTTGCTCCAGTTCCCATTCCCAAGCGGTGCAGTCCTTTCTTGCTGGTCGGTCGGACAGGAGTAGCCATCTAGAGTCAGGCCGTGGGGAGCGAGGGAGTCTTTCCTTGAAGGTGGAGGTGGGCTTTCATCGTGATTTAAGTTCTGTCGCAGTAATATACAAGCACATTTTGGCCATCGTAACGGGAACAAAGAGATTGCAGACACAAATCTGAACTTCTTTTCCTCCTTTATTGTTGTGGAAGAGATTCTAGAAATGCTCAAACACCTGCAGTATACAGAATATATACAATTCTATTCCAGTTATTTCCCTAACATACGGTTTAAAATTATTCCAGGTATAAAGCGTATGCGATTGTGCATTATCACAGAGGAACAACTTCTTTTTTAAAAAATAAATAGGTCAGCCATTTTTATTAAAGTGCAAAAACGTTATCCCTCTAACATGCTCTAGGTAGTTGAAGAAAAGAGAAGTCTGATCACTCTGTTTGTATTTTTTTTTCTTCGTGGGAACATTTCATCTGCTGAGTGTTTATGAATTTGCTTTCTAAAAAAGGCTTTTATGAGTTTACAGTAGTATCAGTGGAAGGAAGAGTTAATAAGGGCTGTTTTTAAAAAAACAAACAAAACAAATAATTAAAAAAACATTTTACATTCCTTCCTGTTCTCTAACTACACTTGGGAAGTGCACTTCAGATAAGTTTGTGGTGTGACTGAGAGATGAAGGAAATCCATAGAAAAGGTCCTCTTAGCGAACAAAATTTAGTTATTAACTTTATAGCTATGAAATTGCCCCAGGCATTTGTTTTTGTTCCAACAGATTTTAACCTCTGCATCATACTTAACCCTGCGACATGCGTACAGTATGCATATTTTGTTTTGAATAAAAAAATGTTTTGTTCCAGTCTGTTAAGAATATTCAAAAAATAATAAAGGTATTGCTTAATAAAATTGCTAGAATTGTTTAGCAGTACATGCACAAATATTTTACTAGATTCTTTGTTTTAATAGTGTTTTGTTGAGACTGAAAATCCTAAAATGGTCTGCGCAAATACAAAAAAAAACACCAAAAATGCAAAATTCTCCAGTTTTTGTTCTTTTTTGAAAAAATGTTTTCCCTGCAAATACAAATACATTCACATGTGCACACACACATACACATTGGCATCGTATTTTAATTTTATGGGGACACAAGTTGGGGAAGTGAGTAGCTTGTGGGGGGGACACATTAATTGCATTCAGTTGTTGACTGTTAAACACTTGTAGAAATAAGCATTTTAATAGCCCTAACCAGTGGTGGAATATGGATTCTCAGTGGGGCTGGGATGATAAGCTGCAGAGACGGCAAGTGATTAGTGCAGAAGAACCCACTGGGTAAGCTCTTATTCATATGACCTCTTAAGCACTGTAAGTAAATGGCCAGGAAAGAGTTTGCGATGACCTTTATCTACCTGTGATGTGGAAAGGCCACTCCACGCTCTAGCCAAGGTTCCTCATGCTGCTGCTGTTCATGTCATATGCATTTCCATTCTTGCAGGAAAACAATACAGCAACACAAGTTAAAGTTCCACCCACTTTTACTGGTATGCAAGAAATGAGTTTCCAAACATTGAACAAAATGATGAAAAACAATATCCCTTAAGAGACAGGTTTTCATTTTTTCTTAACATCTTATGTGACTGATTAAAGTTCTTTTCAAATATAAGGAGATTAGAAGTTTCCACTTTACCAATATTTTAGCTTTTGTTTGGAGAGAATGGCAAACAAAAAAGGGGAAAGCAAAAAAACACTATTATTCTACATGAGGGGTAAGCCTTCCATAGAACAACTTCAAAAGTTGGGAGAAACAATGTGATATTAATTGCAAATATAAAATGATAATTTAGGTGAGGGAGAGATGGTAGGAGAGAAGGGAAATGAGTCCTTTCTCTCCAACAAGTTAGCCAGCATTGAAATAGTCTTTAATTTCAGTAGAAGTTTTTTTTTTTGTCATGTTCATTTATTCTTGTTATAAGAGAATGATCTCAGTGCCTAACACTTATTGTTGTAAGTGTGTAAGCACTTTCCCACGATATTTCCACTGGACATGTTGAAGCAAAGCAGATTTTCCTAGGGTCAGTTAGAGAATTCCAATAGGCAATGACTCCCTTACAAGGTTAAGAAACAATCATTGATGATGGAAATTTCACAACATCCATTGATTGTAGTAGTTTTCCTGGTACACACTTGAGCATGCTTGATGTTGTGCACATATTAATTTTGACAGAATAAATTCAGACCCTGCTCCTTTCGTAATCATCATCTTGTTCCTTTTTTTCTTGTAGTGGGTATCTATTGCATACTGGATAATTGAATTACCATAGTAAAACAATTATTTTTGCAAGCAAGTCGAAAACCAAGAAAATAGTATTTGTTTTATAAATGTATGGAATAGATTTCCATGTGTTTATTATTGTTTTTTTTTCCTGCAGTAGAGAAATTCCAGTTTGTGAAAAATGTTGGTAGTGCTAAGCTAAATGTCAAATAACATAAGCAGAGTTAAACATTATTCCTTATTACGTTTGCATTTGGTGATACATTATATTAACTTTTCTGTCATTAGAAAGATAGTATTGTTCCCCTCTCCCACAATATAGTACATGAAAGTTGTTCTTTTAAATGGCATCATTACAAAAAATAATTTGGCTTCTTGCCAATAAATTGGCGACTTTAAGGACAGAACCTATGGTCATTAAAATAAAAGAAGGTAGGCAAGTAGCAAGGAAAGAAAGACAGATAGGAAGGAAGGAAGGGAGGGAGGGAGGGGAAAATAGGTTTTTATATAAATGAATAATAGCATTATTTTTGCCAGGGGAAAAAAGTAAATGAAAGAGGCAGTTGAATGCCAGACCCATGTGCCAAATACTTGAATTGGTATATGACATTTGATATCTGAACATTAAAACATTAATTAGTCTGAGGCATGATTTTCATTCTTTCAAGGCAACAACTAAATTTATAGTGTTCTTGCTAATTAGAAGCATTGAATCAGCACAGACATGAAAGGTGCATCTTGTTTTTACTAGAACGGCCGGCAGGTATATGATTTCATATGTATGCATATGTACAGATAAGGAGAAAGGTTATATGCTATGGGATATCTTTACAGAGATAGGAAGATATATAATATATATGTATATATCACTTGAAAGTAAAACTTTAACCACAAAATTATTCAGTCCATAACAGCACATGTATTACATTATGACGAATGATTCTTATGTGTTTGCTAAAGTTTGAGCAGCATGCTCATTTAAAAACATACCTACTTTGATATGGAAAACAAACTCTCAAAATGTCTCCATTAATGAAGAAATAACAATTTTGAAATAACCAGAATCTCCTCCATCTTCCAAGCTTTAATGATGTTTAGGAAAAACTGAATTTGGCACATAGGTATTGGGTAATGAAGAATGACAAGACTTTAAGTGGGAGGAAGGGAAAAAAAACTGAGTACAGTTTAAAGCAATATCTCCATGACATTTATAAGAACTATCAAACTCTCCTACAAATTCTAGAAATTCTCCAAATAATAATAAAATGTATAAACAATCTTCTCAGCCTTGGAATAAAACTTAAGGCATGAAACAAAATATTAAATATGTTCTTTATTGTTAAGATACTGTACTTCAGGGCTATGTTTACCTGAGACAAGGCATTCAGATTAAAGTTGAAAAGAAAATCAACAGGTTATCTTGTCTTGGGCCACACAGGTAGGTAGGTAGGAAAAAGTGGACCTCAAACATCTGATTACAAATTATACTAGCTGACTCTGGTGCCCAGGGGGATGACCCTTAGGTCTCAAATATACTTTGGGAGTTGAATTCTAAGATATTTATAAAATCACTAAGTTAAATAAAAAATTCGAAACCATCAGAAAGAGCTATCCAACTTCTTAGGGGCAGTTTGCCTACATTACATTTTTCTCTACTATTTTGCTGTTCCACTAGACAACATTTTGGAAGTAAAGGAGAATGGATCTCCGGGAATATCTTGGTGAAATAACTGTGCTAAGAGGTAGTATTATTATGGGTTTTTAATTTTTTTTTTTTTTTAAATATAGAGAAAGGCACAGGATCCCAGGGCAAAGCCATAGTTTGGGTCTGAGCTTTGACTCCCATGTGACCTAGAGAAATCAATGATATATTTAAACATGAAATGAAAATACCTCATGGAAATATTTGAGGCTTAAATGAGATAAATAATACAAGTGTGCCTGGACACAATGGGTCCTCAGTAATAGTTAGTTATCAAGATTATTCATTCACTATTGGCTTGCTTCTAGGGAATGCTCCTGGGAGTCTTTCAGAGTTTCTGAATTGTATTGGTTTATCTTTTAATTACGTATTTTTGAAAAACACCTCACATCTTTAATCTAGCAAACTGACCATCAATATATTTTCAACACAGATTGAAAGCCTTTACATGTAATTAAAGTGAACTCTAATGACTTAGTGTAAACAGCTTCTGTTTCTATAGATATCCTCTCCTCCAAAATTGCTGATAACAGGCAAAAGTTAAAGACGTCTATATGAATTGAGAGATGGTTCTATATACAAGTGTAAATTGATCTAGAGTAATAGTAGAAATAATGATGAAACTTCAAAGTGGTATTTAAAGTACTTGCAGATTTAAAAAATTGTAAATCTTTGATGCTTCTGGATTCCTTAAACAAAAAATACTATAGTAAATTTAAAATGTTGGATATATGTCTAAGTTGAATTAATATCTTGGTCTTAAATTGATACTATAATTTCCATAGAATGAAGTCATAATGAAAAAAATTAGGAAACTTGTCCAGTTTTTGATAAAGTATGTGTAAATGGATTGATCAGGGCTCTTGATTAAATTTTAGTTCATCAATTCTCTCTTTTGATTCTATCCATCTCCCATCCACCTAATAGATATTTTAATATATTTGCATATATGTTACCCATTCCATATTTGTGACTATAACTAACATCTTCAAATGATTTTAAATTTACAATTTCAATTGAAAGCCAGACTATGAACTTAGATCTTTGAATATAGATTTTCTTCAGTGACTGTTTCTCCTAAAACTTTCAGTTCATTGCAACACTGTGCTTCAAGTTTCCAGTTGTCTGAGTGGTGGGTGACTAGAAGGCCATTTGTTTTGAAATGTAAATTTCGACTTATGGCCATTTCCCTCTATTTCACTGCAAAATGAATAAAATAATAAGTAGTAAAAATTACAGCAAAATTTAAAGCTCTATGTGGATGTTTTAAAAAGTCTGAATTGAAGATAATTCCCCTTTTATTTTCCCTTTTCTTCGTTTTCCTGCATATGGCTTTTATTTCCATTATCATGATAAACATCCTAATGTTTGCACTTGAGTTTGATTTTCCATCTTTCCATTTTTATTAGATTTGTTGATGATGTGTGATCTATTAAAAATAAGAAGAAATACATAAACATATATATTATTTTAAGTTGTTTTTCTGAATTCACTAAAATACAGTTTTTATGTGAATAGAAATAAAGAGTAAAAGTACTAAAACCAATCAATTCTGAGAGACTAAAAAGAATTTGGAAAGAGGCAAGTTACACCATGAAGGAACATACTAGTGGCTAGAGAAATGTCCTAGTTCTTACATTTTAGATCCCCAAATTATTAAAATACAAATGTTAAAAGGATATAGAGGCCATGGCCAAGGTTCTTTTATACCTTTTTTCTTTGGTTGCTTAGATCATTCATTTTAGGTCAATTTGCTTTTTCTGTCACCATCATTGTTATTGACTCAACTGACTCATCCCCAAACAGAATTGGTTAAACTCCTTTATGCAAATATTTATATTAGATCTGATCATTTTGCTGATTGAGCTCCCAAAAAGTTATCTAGACAACTATAACGGTTTCAGTGTTTTGCTTCTTTTTCTTTTTTGTGTGTTATTTTTATTTCTTATTCTTATCT